GGTGTTGAGTAAATAAAATGATCGCTCTTTGCAATCCTTGTGCGCGCGCTCAATTGCATCAGCAAAAGCGTGCGCGAAAACTGTGTTCGGCCACCTTAAAAATGTTAGTAAAAATTTTTGTAAAAGTCCCAACGTTTCGGCGAAAACTTCAGCCTTCATCAGGGGAAAGTGACAAGGAATTTGTAAAAAGGCACGTTCTTATACTATGCAAATCAGCAAATCGGAGCTAATTATGTCCTGTCCATCTCAGAAAAGTATGATAAGGACACTTTACAGAAAGCACGCACATTCAACAAAACCATGCTGAAGACTGCAAGGCATCGCCGACACCTACATTTCAACCATCGATGCAAAGATCTTCAAGTTCTTCCACCGAGCTTGAGAATTCAACCACCGGTTCGGACCCCCAAAGGCTGGAAATTGTCGAAGACCGTGGGATTCCAGTTTTTGAAATTACGTATCGAAGATACACACAAGAAGATTCGCACACTGACTCGAGAAAAGGAACTTGCTTTGGATTTCTTAAGGTCACGCTTAACCACCTCTGATCTTGAACACCTCGAGACCTTAGTTTATGAACAGCAGAAGGAGGAGTACAGCAGGATTAGATCTGTGCATTCGAAGAGACGAGTTCTCACCTTGAAGTCAAATATCTCATTGCCCGATGATACAGGTAATCGTGACAAGTGGGTGCTAAACATCTCTAGCAAGCCGTTGAACAACACCGAAACGACTGCACTTCAGAAAGGCACGAACTTCGCCTTAGCTCCAAAGAAAATACCAACAGCGGAAATTATAGCCGGTATTGAAGACGGTATTTCTGGACTACCGGAAGACGATAAACTTGTGTTAAGATCCCAAGTTTCGCAGGTTTTACAAAGAGTCATCGTACCACCTCCAAACTTGCCACAAGCCGAGCTCATAGCTTTACATAATCTCCGCAGAGACCAAGACCGACTCGTTATCCCTGCGGATAAGGGTAACTGTACTGTTGTCATGGATCGCAAGGACTATGACGACAAGGTACAGAAAATGCTCAAGGACCAAAGAACCTACAAGGTGTTAGATAAAGACCCTACACAGCGAACGGAGAAGAAACTCAATGAAAAATTAGCCAATCTTAAACGAGAGAACAAGATCAGTGACAGTCTTTACAAAAGACTTTGCAGTTCTGATGGACTGCCTCCTCGTTTTTATGGTTTACCAAACATTCACAAGCCTGGTTTCCCCTTAAGACCTATTGTTTCGTTCATAGACTCTCCAACTTACATGCTATCGAAACATTTGGCGCAAATCCTGAGTCCTATGATGGGTAAGACAGATTTCACGGTCAAGAACAGTGTGGAATTTTGTGAACAGATGAAAAATATCCCACTCAAAGAAGATGAAGAGCTGGTTTGCTTTGACGTTGTCTCTTTGTTCACATCTATTCCTGTGGAACTTGCCATTCAAGTTGCTAAAGATTTGCTTTCCAATGATGACACCTTGCAGGATAGAACCACCATTCCTGTCGATGACATTGTAGACCTGTTGGATTTCTGTTTGTCGACAACAAATTTCAAGTATAACAACAATCACTACCAACAGATCTTTGGCACCGCCATGGGCTCTGCAGTGTCAGCTGTTATGGCAAACCTGGTAATGGAAGACCTTGAAAAACGAGCACTATCCACCTCTCTTTCCCAACCGTGTTTTTGGAAACGATATGTAGATGATGTGTGTGCTGCTGTTAAATCCAACCTAGTGCTAGCCTTACAGAGTCATTTAAACAAAAGCAAGCCGTCGATCCAATTTACGGTTGAAAGAGAGACAGAACGGAAATAACCTTTCTTGATGTCACTGTCTGTCGACAAGATGATGGCCAACTCTCCACTAAAGTCTATCGCAAACCGACACACACAGAAAGATATCTCTCATTTGACTCTCACCATCCGGCTGCTCACAAAAGGGCTGTGGTCAAGTCTCTGACTGATCGTGCAAAAGCTATCCCATCTTCTGTTGACCAACAATCAAAGGAAATGAAACGTGATCGCGGAACTCAGGTCGAATGGCTACCCAAAACACTTTGTTATTCATGCAAGTAAACCAAAACAGCCTTCTCGACAAATGCCTGCAACTGCACTGGATGACAAAAAAGGTTTCTGCATTTTACCGTATGTCAGGGGCACTACGGAACCGATTAAGCGAATCCTAAGCAATTACAATATCAAAGTTGCTTTAAAACCACACCATACCATTGGCAATTTATTTCCCAAACCAAAAGACCCAATCCCAAAAGATCAGACTCATGGTGCAATTTATTCAATTCCCTGTCAAGGTTGTGACAGAAGCTACATCGGGGAAATGAAACAAAAATTTTCCACCCGGCTCAGAGAACATCAAAAAGCGGTTGTAAACAAACACTCACACAAGTCAGCTTTAGCAGAACTTTGTTTACACTCTGGCCACACCATCTCCTGGGAATCTTCAAAGATTTTACGTACAAGCACAAATTGGCACAACAGACATATTTTAGAAGCATGGGAAATTAAGACTTGTAAGAATCCACCGAACTGCGGTGATGGCATGCATTTGCTACACGAATTTTTAAATTTAGCCCTAAGGGACAGGACATAATTAGCTCTGATCTGCTGATTTGCACAGTATAAGAACGTGCCTTTTTACAAATTCCTTGTCACTTTCCCCTGATGAAGGCTGAAGTTTTAGCCGAAACATGGGACTTTTACAAAAATTTTTACTAACATATTTACATTTTTTAAACCAGAGTAACGTTTTCCAATCATGAATCAACCACCTGGTTACAGGACCATTTTTAGAACTACATTAATTGGCAATTTACCAAAGTTCAGGTTATGTACATGTAAGATGTTGCATGTAGGTCTAGATGATGCACAGATGCATATTTCTTGATGACTTACATAATGTAAGGGGTGTGCAAAAGTGGGTTGGCCATGTTGGATTATTAAACATGTTGCATTGTGGTGTATTCCGTGTTCTAACAAGCAGGTATATGTAGTATTCAACATTGGAGATATCCCACAGGAGATAATCATCAATTCTGGGGCAGGTGCAAATGCCATTAGTCAAGCCTTATGGGAATAACTGAAGAAACATCATATCAAGTGTGTCTAAATGTGAAACATGAAGAAGCTGTGCACCTATGGAGCAGTTACCCCTCTTGAGGTTATCAGTACATTTACTGCTGATGCTACTTGAAGAAATATGTGTTTACAAGGATTGGCAAATTTAAAGATGTTCAACTAAACTTACACATTGACCAGCAAGTTCAGCTGGAAGCAAAATTGTTACAGAGGCCTGGATTCAGCTTGGGAGAGAAGATTGAGTAGAAACTGGAAGAACTGCCTCAAGAAGAACTGCTGCAATTTGAGCA